AAACATTCGGCATAACTCTACCTTGCAGATCCTAAATATACTACTAACACTTAAAGTTTAACATGACAAAATTACAAACTGATCACAAAATAAGATCCTGTTGTTTTCTGCGAACTTTAATTAAATTTCAGGGTCTTTAGTCAGAACCTGTGATTAATTTGATTTAACATTATAGACATGTTTTCCATATTTTTCACTACAATTGCAAAATAATTTCCATAAAGTCATATGGGAGCCTATCTATACATCCCGTTATCAATCACAGAAAGATGTGTAAACAGGCAAGTAGAAGCGTCTGTAAAAGTGAACTCTATAAGGCTAGTTTTCCATGAACTAAATGGTCCTGCAGGAAAAAGTTATCCAAACTCAATTGTTTTTAGGACTAAAAGACAAGGAGATGAACTTATCTTTGAAATTAAGAACTTGCCTCTGTCTAGGGGGCAGTGGGCTTGGCAGAATATTCAATGATCTCACCAAGAGCCTGTGTAATGTAATAACAAGAGACTGTGTGTTTATGGTAGATAATACCACTGAAGCATAACACGATGCATCCTGACATAATTCCGTTTGTAAAACCAGAACTCACTCAATATCCCCCATAAGACAATGACAAACAATGTAATACTTTTGAATAATATAAAACAGGAACACGACATTCATCCATTCAATGTATTTACTGAGCATCTCTACGGCAGTGGATACTCTAAAGGACACAATGACAAATGAGATCTGATCATTTCCTGTGGACACCTACAGCCTAGGAGGGAGACATGATATGGACACGTAGTTAAAATGTGAGGAACAGGGCGAGCAACAGCGTCACAGGTGCCATGAAGGGTTTTGGACTTTAGAGGAAGGGGGCAGATGTTTGCAGATGGTGCCCAGGAAAGGCTTCATGAAACAGATGGCTCGTGGGCTGTTTGGAGGTGGGGCTAGGATTTCAGCAGAAAAGGGGAGATTCGAATGAAGAGAGGGAAGTGGAGTGTCACAGGCTGGTTTGGGGGTGCTGACAGGCCAGCTGGACTACAGCACAGATGGTGTGTAAGGGAGTGAAAGGCATGCTGGGTGGGAGGTGGGGGACTGCAGACGGGTATCAAGGTCAGCCTCGTAGGGTGAAAGAATGCCTGAAGGCTATTCTCAGGGAAGGGATACATTCCCCCTGCACTTTGAGAACATGTAGGACCGTTGGAAGGGAAAGAGATTGAAGGCTGGAATTCCGTTACGGGGCTCTTTTAGTGCTCCAGGCATTCGCTTGTGAAGGGGGAGTCTAGGGAACTCACTATGAGTAACGCATGCGTGTGTTTTAACTATAATATTTCACTTAATTCTCATGACAACTCTGAAAAATAAATAACATTAACTCCGGGGGTTCAGTTGAGGAAATTAAGGCTCCAAGAGATTACTAAGGTCACTGAGTTAATGAAATAAAAAGGGGAGGGGAGCAGGACTCGGCAGTGGGACTTTAATGTCCACATCATCTGCATGATACCACTATGATAAAGGGCCTTTTTATAAGCTCCCTCAGTGCAGGCTCAGCAGCTCAATATTGTAGGTGTGCCTCTGGTACAGACCTAGAGAGAATCACATGTCACACGAGAATGACTCTGATGACAGAGAGTTTCTCCTTGGAAGTTGAAATCAGGGAGATTCCTCTGCCCCAAGTGACCAGGGAAACTTCCCTGCTACACTGAGAGCTTCTTATGAGTGGATGCTGCCTTACCTGCCTTGGAGTCCCGAGGAGCCCAGGGAAGTACTCAAGGAGAAACTGTCATCATGAATCAAACTTGTGATTCATGTAATATATTTTCTATTCTGAACAGGCATTCCAAGGACACAAAATAGTTTGTATGGTTGTAAGATAGCAACCCTGAGAGTTATTTCCACATATTCTGCTCCAGGTCTGGGATATATAGTAAGTTCGCACTTAACATCATCGGTGGGCTCTTAGAGCTGCACCAAAACAATGTATAATAAAACCAATTTTTCCCACAGGCTAGTTGACATGAACAAGAGGTAAGGTCCCACAGCATCACATCAATGTTATAACGAAACAAGTTATTAGAGGACCTGCTATTCAAGGGTTAGACCAGGACCTCAGCAGCATGGCAACTGCTGCCTGACCTGCGCTGCTCCGCCAGCCCAGCTGTCAATTCCAGGTGCTCCTTCCCACCACTGGATCAAGCTCTCCCTTTCTATTTACAGTCGGTGCAACCATGTCTTGCTCTTAGGCTAGCACCCCTGTCTTTGAACTCTGCTCACATTTCAGTTCCTGTCTCCCTAACAAGATATGGAATGTGGCAGGACCTCTCTAATACCAACGCTTTGCTTTGCTTGTGGAAACCGGCCAGGTCCACTGTCTAGGCTTCTGGAACTGTCCCCATCTCCTGGCCTACCCCAGAGGGCCTGCAGAGTCATCAGCCCCCCACTTTCGGGTCTAGCCTGTGCTTCTGCTTCATGAGAAGAGTTCTGAGAACAGTCATCGTAGCGGTGGAGATAGTCTTCATACTTACATAGAACTTGCTCTGTGCCAGGCATTGTTCCAGGTATTTTACAAATATTAATGCCTATAATCATCACAGTATTAACAGCCTCATTTTATTGATAAAAAAAGGCAAAACAAAGAACCTGAGGCTGAGAGATTAAGTTACTTGTCTAAGGTGACATGGTTTGCTAGTGGCAGAGTCAATAATACGAATCCAGCATTCTGGCTATAGTTCATTCTCTTAACCCCTATGTGCTCCTCCCTCCCTCTCCAATGACAGTGAGAGGGTGAAGTACATATCATTAGTGAATGTATTTACCATCTTAGATGCCCCATTTTCTACACCTGGAATAATACTATCACTAATAGTTATCACATTTATGTTCATAAATATATTAACATTTAGCTATAAATCTGATCCCCAAAATCAGTTAGAAAGACCTTACATGATGCTGAAACTTTGATACATGAGTATTTTCATTTTGATTGAAAATACCACAGATGTTCTGCATTTAGGGATGTCTAATAAGATAGTAGGGTTCAAAGATATTGCTATTTTAATAGCAAAAATTATCCAAGAATACTGGCACAGAAGACAATCATGAATATGACATTGATGGGAGGGAAAACAAATATGAAGATTTAAAAATCAAAGGAGAGTTACTTAAAAGGTCTCAGCATAATGAAAAAAAGAATCAAAGTACAGACTGTCGACATCTGGCAAATTGGATAGTTCTGTACTCTCTAGTTCACTTGACAAAATGATAACACATCATGGTTATCAATTCAGAAGTGAACGTCTGACCACATGTATTATAATCAGGAATTTTAAAAGGAATTAAGTAATATAATAATACCTATGCTAATATGAATTTTGAACTGCTCTGATTTATATTATCTTTATTTATTAAATATAGAGCAATCATTATAAAACTGGTGAATATTCGCTGAACCGGTTTGGCTCAGTGGATAGAGCGTCGGCCTGCGGACTGGGGGGTCCCGGGTTCGATTCCGGTAGAGGGCATGTACCTTGGTTGCGGGCACGTCCCCAGTGGGGGGCGTGCAGGAGGCAGCTGATCGATCTCTCTCATCGATGTTTCTAACTCTCTGTCCCTCTCCCTTATTCTCTGTGAAAAATCAATAAAATACATTTAAAACAACAACAACAACAAAAAAAAACTGGTGAATATCCCTATGTGCCAGAGGATGGAGATAAGTGATCAAGGCATAAAAGAAGCTTGTTTTCTAACAGCAGAGATGGAAAGACCATAAGCAAGTCAATAAGTAAATGCACAGGATAATTCTGTATAGCAAAAAGAGCTAAGAAGAAAGCAAAACAAGGTTATATAATCCAGAATAAAGTCAACTCGTCGGGATATGACCTTTGAGCTGATACCTGAGTAACAAAGAAGGGAGCAGAATGAGAGAAAGGACTCTGTATTGGCATGCTCCCTGCGCCAGGAGCACAGGAACAATGGGAGACGGGCAGGCCTGCAGTCAGAGAGGTGGGAAGGGCACAGATCATCGGTCCTTGTAGCCATGGCAGAGGGGAATTTTATTCTAAGTGTCAGAGGAAGTCAGCATAATGCTACAAGTTAGGGAAGTGGTGTGACCTGATGTACATTTTGAAAGATCATGTTAGCTGCCATTTGGAAAATGCATCCTAGGAAGTCAAGCATGGAATCAGAGAGACCCACAGGAAGCCCCTGCAGCAGGGAAAGCTACTGTAGTTGGGAACAGAAGACGGTCGCTTGGGCTTGGACGTAAGGTGTTTCAGTAGAGAAATAGATGGAACGGGGACGTATTTTGGAGATAGAGTAATAGGACTTGTGATGAATTAGAGGCAGGGGGTTAGGGAGGGCAATCGGGAATGATTCCTGGGCTTTGAGTGGATGGTGTGTGATCTAGTAATAGGTAGAAGACTAAGAGGAAAAAAAATTTTAGGAGAAGTTAAGATTCATAGGATATTAGTAAGCAGTAGGATAATAGAGTGATATCCACAATGACATTTACATTAAACTCAGGGAAGTGGTAAGTAACAAACTCTCATAAAAATCATATGGCTTATGATCACTGGTTAGTTTTCCTGTTAGCCTACTCAAGCCCCAAGACCATCTTCAGTTCTGGAAATGAAATGAAAACTTAGTCATCCATTCTGGCTTTATGTGGGCATACTTTATTTTAGAGAGCAGTTCTAGAAATGCTGAGGAGCTGTGAGCACATGATAGGTACTCAAAAAAACATGTGGTGAACTGAATGACACCTATTTGTCTTAGAGACTACGTAATCTACCTACGATAGGACTAAGAGTAGAATTGAGAACTCTCAAAATTGCCATGTACTATGAATCTGAATTACATCAGTCCCTTATTTTAAAATATTCTTTGTGTGTACATATGTGTGCATTTCTCTCATATACTATTGTTAGAAAAAATAGGTATGCTCCAAACATTTGTCTTAGTATTGAATCAGCACTTTCCCACAGAGTTTTATTTTAAAATGGGTAGTCATTACTTACCTGCAGCATATCACCAAGGTCTGCTGTGCTAATATCCGGATCCTCTGTGGTGTTGAAGGGCACAGGAGTTATCCGCACGAGGGTGAGCACCCTGGGTTCTGGATATCTCCATAGCATCATTCCCGGGCTATCTTCGGTTTCGTTGTAAAACAAGACTTCATAGACACCAGGCATTTTCAAAGGTTCTGTTAAATGGAAGTATAATTAACTGTATTTCTGAAGGGAAACATTTTGGTGTATGACAGCAAGAAAAAATTATGAGGATAAAAGTAAAATTATAAAGAAGCTGGGTAGTCAATTTTATGGGTTTGAGATGGGAACAAATCATGAATTTACCCTTAAGATATATCAAATGGTAACTTACTATTTTTTGTACTTCAGGTATTAATGTACTTTTTCAAGTAATCTTATTCTGTTACCTCTTAGTAAACGTGCAGCTAAACCTGCACACACATGCGCATACACACACACACACACACACACACACACACACACACACACACACACCCTGAAGCTGTTACTACTTACCGGCATCTCTTATATACTGAAAAAGACCCGTCCGCAGGTCATCGGAACTTTGTTCACTTTTAAATGTCTGGTTCTTTTCCACAGGAGGTGGCACATGTGGCACCGCTTCAGAAACTTCAACATTTCTCTCCTCATTAAGGTATCCATTGAGTAACTCATGTAGAAGAACTAAACAATTCAAATGTTCTTGACCCCAGAAAACCTTTAAAACCAGATGAAAAATTTTAGTGGCTTTAAAATATAAACATTTCATGAAAATAATTAGGCACAATCATATCTGAATTAATGCAAGACTGCAATTACATTTAATGTAATTACTGACAATAAGTAAACTATAATTTCTAAGTAATTGGACCTATAGGATGTAATTCTATTGCTTGAGTAAATATATAAAAACAACAAAATCAATTACATCATATATTATGTGAATAATAATCAATTTTAAATGCTAAATTAATGATGAAATTATGTTAATGTGAGGTAATGTTTATTAACTTAGCTAAGAGGGAAAAGAACACCTATTGTAATCTAAGAAAAGGCAATGAAGATCTTCTAAGCCAAAATGTTAAAATAAAAATAATAATCTTGTAGAATAGCTTCCTAAATTTTGTCATGAGATTAAAAAACACATATTGGTTATAGGGTTCTTTTCCTTGCATTTTTATTTTTAAGAGAAAGAGAGATGGAAGATGCTAAATGAATCTGAACTACTCAAAAGCCTCCCAACTTCTGTGTTTAGTGAGAATGTGCCCATACACAGTATTCCACAGCACAAACCAACTGGTCAGGAGCTATAGTAGAGTTTCAGAACAAAGATATTAGTGTTTCTTATGAGAGAGAGGATCAAGGTCCCTTTTTCTACATGTGAAGAATATTAATCTATAACAGAAGTCTGACTAGTGGGTAATAATAATTGTGGATTCAAAATGTCAATAATATTATATGTCTATGAATATATTGGATAAAGGCAGCACAACTATTAATTCTAAGAAAACCATAACACACACACACACACACACACACACACACACACACACACACACAAATATATATAGAGAGGTAGAAAAAATTAACCCTGTACCTTGTAGCTAAGTTTAAATCCTGGGTTTGGGTTCTGCTCTCTGGAATTAAGGTATCTCAGAAATGAAGGGAAGAGATATGATACTAAGTCTACTGATACTAAATCTATCTAGGTCAGTGATTCTCAACCTAATGCCACGATCCTTTAATAGAGTTCCGCATGTTGTGGTGACCCCCAATTTCATTGTTACAAATTGAACATAATTAAAGCATAGTGATTAATCACAAAAACAGTATGTAATTATGTATGTATTTTCCGATGGTCTTAGGCGACCCCTGTGAAAGGGTCGTTCGACCCCCAAGGGGGTCTCGACCCACAGGTTGAGAACCGCTGATCTAGGTTCTCATCAATATTATTTTTGGATCTGAAAAGATAGAGATAAGCGAAAAGTCAAATCGCACACTGCTCCAACCTTTAAATTGTGAAGAGACAGTCATCTTTGTAATATAGAGATGATCTACCTTGGTTTTGCTCATTGTTTTTTTATTAAAATTATTGGGGTGACATCGGTTAATAAGATCATCTATGTTTAAAGTGTACATTTCTATGAGACATGATCTGTATATTGCATTATGTGCCCATCACCCAAAGTCAAATCATCTTCCATCACCATAAATTTGGCCCCTGCTCTTTTTGTTTTTAATGTGGAGTTACTTTGCAGCCTTGAAAAAATGGTAATACAATTAATGTTCTTGATAACACAACACAATACCACATGTTTATTGTAATTAGAAAAGTGTACACATTAGGAAAAAGTTATTCATGACCTAGCAATTCTGCTCCTAGTCATGTATCCAAGAGAAATGAAACCATGTCTACACAAAAACTTGTACACAAATGTCCGTAAATTGATAACTGAATAAATAAAATATGACACATACAAACAGTGGACTAATTTAGCCATAGAAAAGAATGAAATACTGGCACCTACTAAAAAACGGATGAACCTTGACAACATTAAATGAAAGAAAATGCTAAGTGAAAGAAGCCACTCACAAGATACCATATATTTACATGAAATGTTCAGAAGAGTCAAATCAAACAGAAAAAAAAATTGGTTAGTGGTTGTATAAACCTAGAGAGGGGATTAAAGAATAATGGGGAGCAAAAGCTAATGAGCACAGGGTGTTGGAGTGTGTGTATGAAAATGTTCTAAAATGGATTGCAGTGATGATCACAAAACTTTGTGAATATACTAAAAAATCAGTGAATTATGCACTTTAATTAGGTAAATTGTATGGTATATGAATTGATAATACCTTTCTCACCACATCAACATTTAAAATTAAAAAAAATTATATTGATTTGAGGAAGGGAGAGGGAGATAGAAACATCAATGATGAGAGAGAATCATTGATAGGCTGTCTCCTGCACGCCCCTACTGGGGATTGAGCCCACAACCCAGGCATGTGCCCAGCCTGGGAATCTAACCGTGACTTCCTGGTTCATAGGTTGACACTCAACCAATGAGCCACATTGGCTGGGCCAAGATTTAAAATGTAGTGAGTTCAAAAAATGAATAAAGGCTCGCTAAAAACTTATGGGGAAAATATAGAAAATGCCCACATACCTGTAGAAGACCCCCACTCAAATCTATGGATATTTTGGGTATAGAGTGTTCTGGGCCTGGGTTGCCACTGTGTTTACACCACCTAGCTTCCACATCGGCAGCCGCACAACATGGTCCTATCAGAATCCGGCTTTTTTCTCTGAGACTTGTTTTAAGGAGAAAATCATTTACGCTGAGTAGAAATGATGACCCAAGAATTACACCTGAAAAATACAAAGAAATGGAGAGGGATATGAGAAATAATTTTTCCTAGTAAAAAAGTAAGTTTGGGCAAGAATTTGTAGTTTTTAGACCATTAATTCATCCTTTGTCCTCTTTCAGTTGGCTTTCCCTCACAGTTTTATGCCATTTATACAGAATTCTAGTTACGAAGCAGGTATACCTCATTCACATTCCTAACAAAGCAATATTTGCCAAAACATTATGACTTTTTCCATGTGTGAGCATTTTAAGTTTTATGAGTAGAGACATTTTCATTAAATTGTGCTAGTTTTTCAAACAACTACATTAAGAATAAGAACAGCTGCTTCATTTGTCTATTGTTAACATGATGAGAAAGGGCAATTTTCTGTGATTTCTTACAGTAAGAGTAAAGTATATTACTCTGCTAGACACTCAAGTTTTTGACTGGCTCATGTTAAAATCAAAACAATCAAAATATATAACATGTGTTTTCTAAAAATTTTAGTTTAATCCAAACTTCACACATCATAACCACTTGAAGTTTACAGAGTCTTAAAAACAGATAGTGGCAGGTTAGATTTATGAGGAAAACTATATGCTATAGTTCAAAGTAAATATACCCAGAAAAGGAATACACTTTAAAATGTAGGTTTTCTTTTGAACTTACACTAGAAGTGTAGATCAAAACCTTTTCATAAAACCAATGGCATACTTTAAGATATTTGAATGCAAAGTTAGAGTGGTCGGTTAACTTTCCCCCAAGGAGCTCATATTCTGAATTGTCATTGTGAATATTGAATTTCACCAGACCACATTTGTAATGCCCATGGCTTATTTTTCTAATAATATTTGATCCTTAAAAGAGATGAAAGATTAAAAAACACCTTGGGCTGACAGTATACACTTTTCAAAGTACAGTAACCACATTGACTTTTCAATTCTGTGGAGACTTGAAACTTCACATACACTGTATGTTCCTACTGCAGAAATAAGATACACAGAAGACATCACACCCACCAAAGTGTTAGGGCTAAGACTTTTATCAAAAATATGATGGTGAAAATCAATTTCTTAATTTTTTTTCATAAAATATATTGTGGCACTAAGACTTCCATTTCATTTACATAGTTTTCTTGATCTAAAGCTATACTTCACTTAGACTAAAGGAAAACTAAACAAAATAAAAAAATAGAATCCAACCGGCATGTCTCAGTGGTTGAGCATTGACCTATGAGCCAGGAGGTCATGGTTCGATTCCCGGTCAGGGCACATGCCCAGGTTGCAGCTCAATCCCCTGAGGGGAGCGGGTGTGCAGGAGGCAGCCAATCAATGATTCTCTCTCATCATTGATGTTTCTATCTCTCTAACTCTTTCTTCCTCTCTGAAATAAATAAAAAAATATTTTTAAAAAAGAAACAAGCCCCCGAATAAATAAGAATTAAAAATCATCTTTATTAATGGAGTTTAGAACTTAAGTCATAACTTCCTGACTTAACTGTGTTACACTTCCTGGAACACAGTTAAGACTTCTCAACAGTAAAGATCTGCTAAATAGAAATATCAATTGATTACTCAGTAATCTGTCATAATGACATTAAAAAAGTATAAGGTTACTTCAGTACAATTATCTAGCAAATGTATGAATTACATTACCCTTTATTCTCAAATGCATGCATCATCATACTAGCCTACAATGAAATATTCAATTATCTGGTGGTAACCTTAATGTGAATGTCTTATTGGTCCCTCATAGACAAAGTGTTTAATTTCAAAGGCTCCCTGGATTGCTTATCTTCTTTAATGTTTATCATGATCTCATCACATACTCAGATTGAAAAATAGGTTTCAAGACTTATCAATTTCTATATCATTCTACCCAACTTCATTATTTTAAAATGTCAAGGAAGAGAGACCTTAGTAATCGAAGTGATTGAACAGAAGACCACACCATTTTCAAGCGTCACTAGACTGTGATCATCCTGGAGGCCAGGGCCACCTTATTCATTATAGTACTGGGCACAACAGTAGCTAACCAGGACGCACCCCACTGAAGGGAATTGGCACTTTAGAATCTAATCCTGTTTTCACCTGTCTCAATATATTTCTTACTAGACAGTAGAAAAGAAAAGTACTTGAATCTGCCACTCTTGATTTGCGTCATAGAACACTGTATCATAGAACAACAAGGTTAGATGGAAGAGACCTTAGAAGCCATCCATTCCAAGTCTCCTTCCTCTAAAAAAAAGCACGCAAAATACTTTTTAAAAAAAATTTTTTTTGCCTGCCATAACCATTTTAAAGTCTTTTAAAAATATATTTTATTGATATTTTACAGAGAGGAAGGGAGAGGGATAGAGAGTTAGAAATATCGATAAGAGAGAAACATCGATCAGCTGCCTCCTGCACACTCCCTACTGGGGATGTGCCCGCAACCAAGGTATATGCCCTTGACCGGAATCGAACCTGGGACCCCTGAGTCCACAGGCCAACACTCTATCCACTGAGCCAAACTGGTTAGAACCACGCAAAATACTTTTAATTTTGAAATATCAGACCTGCCTAAAAGTCGAAACAATATACAGAGTTCCGTTATATCCTTCACCCAGCTATGTAACCACAGTATGAAACTGAAATCAGAAGCCACATTGATATAATACTATTAAGTAATCTACCGATCTTATTTAAATTTTGCTAATTTTCCCACTAATGTCCTTTTTCTGGTCAAGTGTCCAAAATAGGATCCCCCACTGCTTTTAGCTGTCGTCTCCTTAGTCTTCTTTATTCTGTGGCAGATCTAGCTTTCTCTGTCTTTCATGACCTTGATACTCTTGACAAGCCCAGGCCAATTATTTTGCAGAATACCTCTCGATTTGCTTTTATCTAATGATTTCTCATTAAAATGTGGTTATGGATTTTTGACAAGAATGCCAGAGAAGTGAAGCCCTTCTCTGCATCATATTTGGATGAGTGATGTTGATGTTTTATTACTGGTACTGTTAACTCTGATCACATGCTACTAGTAAAGTGGTGTTTCAGGTTTTGCCACTATAAAGTTGTTATTATTCCACTTAAAAATAATAAAATCTGTGGGGATATAGTTGGAGATTATGCACTATCCTCTTTTACATCAAACTTTTTCTCATTAACACTGGCATCCATCTCTGGTTCTTGAATGCATCAGTTATTACTGTGGTGCATGATAATGTTGATTTCCAACTTTCTTATTCTTCTACATTTATTAATTAGTACTCTATGATGAAAAGAGCTGTTCCTTCTACCCCACTTATTAGTTCAATTATTTATTTATATCAGTATGGACTCATAGATATATATTTTATTTTGTGGGTTATAATCGAATACTCTCATTGCTTTGTTGCTTAAATGGAACCAGCGTGGGACATTAGAAACCCCTTCAAGTTGGTTCCTGTGTCCTTTTGATAGTCCCCCATCATTTCTTGGGGAACTTTTTTACTTTCTGGCCACAAGATGTTTCAGGCTCTGATGAGGTCCAAGATGCTATTGTAGGAAGACCCTGAACTCACCTCCTCCTATTGACACACTGAATATACACCTATATATAGAGAAATTCCTCCTGAAAAAGAAATGAGGACGGATGGAACATCTGCACAACAAAGGAGGGAGGGACCACATAGAGAAGGGTAAGAGCGATGGAGACATGATAACAGCAGTAACCTCACCCCTGATGAGTGAACTGCAGGAGGGAGGGATATCACTGAGGGCCCTTGTGCAGACTGGCCTACCCTGGGCACAGTGAAAAAACAGTGGCTTAAAGGGCAGCAGACTATGTGAAGGAAATCCATTTACTAATCCTACAGCCTCTGCCAAATAGGCGAGAAACTGCTGGGAGTCTCTCTGGGACTGGAGGTGCTGGCCAGGGCCATTTTTACTGAATCACGATGAAATAGAAAACCTGAATAGACTGATTACAAGTAATGAAATGGAATCAAGAATTTAAAAACTCAAAAAACATCTCGTCCAGGATGAGATGGCTTCACAAGAGAATTCTACCAAACATTTAAAGAATTAATGTTTATACTTCACAAATTATTCCAAAAAATTGAAGAAGGAAAAATGCTGCCAAACTCATTTTACGAGGCCAGCACTATCCTGATACAAAAATCAGACAAAGACACCACAAAAAAGAAAATTGCAGACAAACGTCCCTGATGAACACAGATGTATAAATCCTCTACAAATTATTAGCAAACTAAATTCAACAATACATTAAAAGGATCACACACCATAACCAAGTGATATTTATTCCAGGGACACAGGATGGTGCAACATCTGCAAATCAATCAATGTGGTATAGCACTTTAGCAATATGAAGAATAAAAATCGTCTCAGAGGGAAAGAAAGAGGGCAGTGAGAAGAGATTAACCAACAAACATATGCATGTATGCAGAGCCCACAGATAATAGTGTGGTGAAGGTCTGGGATGGGGTGGAAACTGGGTGAAGGAGGACAATGGGGGAAAATGGTGGACATCTATAATACTCTCAACAATAATGATAAATTTAAAGAAAGAATAAAAATCATATGATCATCTCAACAGATGCAGAAAAAGCATTTGACAGAATTCAACATCCATTTATGATAAAAAGAAACTCTTAACAACGTGTGTATATAGGGAATGTATTTCAACATAATGAAGGCCATATATGACAACCCCACAGTTAACATCACACTCAATGGTGAAAAGCTGAAAGCTTTTCCTCTAAGATCAGGAACAAAACAAGGATGCCTTCTCACCACTTTTATTCAACATAGTATTGGAAGTCCCAGCTGCAACAATAGGGCAAGAAAAAGAAATAAAACGCATCCAAATTAGAAAGAAAAAGTAAAACTGTCACTATTTGCAGATGTCATGATACTATACTCTAAAGACTGCACCAAAAAACTATTAGAATAAATGAATTCAGTAAATTTATAGGATACAAAATTAATATAAAGAAATTGGTTGCACTTCTATATACACTTATAAACTATCAGAAAGAGA